TTTTAAAAGCTAGAGTTCTTATTTTTACTTCTCATTAATTTCTACGTTGTGTGGGAATGTCTATTTCTAATGAGATGCTAGAGAGTAATCATTCCCATTTAAGTGAGAATAAAAAAAATTCAGATATTCAAAGGACTAAGAGGAACTGATTTCAAAGTATAAAGATGTGAGGGACCAAACTTAAAGATTTTGGGGGACTAACGCTAAATATGAGAGAGCTAAGAGGGCTAATATCGATAAAACCATTTCTCTTCGGCTTAACTACATTTAAATAGCCTATAGTTTCCTCTACTTTGCATTTATATATCATCACTTATTTTTTGTAGCATTGATATATCCTAGAGGTTTTAAAATTTGTGCTTTTAACACTTTCAGTTATGCAAACACTATAATTTTCCCTCGAAAATTCTTATGTGACAATTACATGCTAGTTTTAAAATAATTCAACTTTTAATATCTGTTAAAATTAGTGTCAAACCTATCAAAATTCTATTTTAAAACAGAATTAGAGTAGATTTAAGATAGAATTTTGATAGTCTTAACTGTAAATTTAACAAAAACTTGAGCGTTAAAGTTTTAAACTTAGCAGATGGATATCACATGAGAATTTTCGAAGAGAAATTTCCACGTTTGAGTAATGTAGGGTGTTTTTTTCTCGAGTAACTTTGAGTAGTTTAGGGCATTTAAATGCAAATTTAAAAAACTTTAGGGCAGATAAGCGCTGCAAAAGCCAAGTGAGGGGATATAAGTGCAAAGTAAGGAAATTATAAGGTGTTTATGTGCAGTTAAGCCTTTCTCTTGTCACTATCGCGTCACTTACGCGGGAATGAAAGGTAAACAGCACACGCCGGATTCACTCCCCACAACGCGGTTTCAACCCGATCCACAAAAGGACGTAAATTTACCAGATTACCCTCATACTTCTTCTCAAAGAAGTTAAACTGAGACTCCGTCGATCCCTTCTCCTGCCTTCTGCCCGTTAAATAATTCGAAACCGAATAAATCCCGAATAATTCATCATCATGTTTTTATCTTTTTGGTTCGGTTTCATTCTCGGAGCTCTCGCGATCCTTGGGCTCGAGTTATGGATTTTCCTAAAGGTGATCAACCGCCTTCGCCGACGATCG